CGGCATTCTGAGCTGCTGTCCCACTGCTATCCAATTCAGGGATGGGGAAACAGAAATTCAGAGAAGCTCAGTAACTGGGCCAACATACCAAAGTTAGATGAGTAGTAAGGTCAGGAGTCGAGCTCTTGTCAATTTCCCTTCTATTACACAGGCTTGATATTTCTAATACTTTCCTGTGTTTATTTGTTGTTTTGCTTTCTTTCCTTCTTTCTTTCTTTCCTTCTTTCTTTCTTTCCTTCCTTCTTTCTTTCCTTCTTTCTTTCTTTCCTTCCTTCTTTCTTTCCTTCTTTCTTTCTTTCTTTCTTTCTTTCTTTCTTTCTTTCTTTCTTTCTTTCTTTCTTTCTTTCTTTCTTTCTTTTTCTTTCTTTCTCTTTCTTTCTTTCTTTCTTTCTTTCTTTCTTTCTTTCTTTCTTTCTTTCTTCCTTCCTTCCTTCCTTCCTTCCTTCCTTCCTTCCTTCCTTCCTTCCTTCCTTCCTTTTTTTTTTTGAAACAACATATTTCTATTAGATAGGTTCTTCTATTCCTCACAATGGTCCTAGTGCTAAGCTTGAAATGAGAGCTTAAATCTAATCCTTTTTCACCTAACTGATCTTCTGGTATCAGATGCTGTCAACACATCCCATCTGAGACATAAATATTTTAGCCAAAACATAATCCATTCCTTCAACCAGTTCTTGGATTGTGTAGTTTGCAACAATTTCAATATGTTTGATGCTTTCTCTGAACATATTCTTGATTGCCAAGACCTCTGGACAATGTGAGATATGCTACAACCAAAGCCAAAAGGAGGATGGAGGAGAAAGGATTGTGGCATGGCCATTCCTCCTGGGGGGTGATTTCTCACTTTCTATCTCTGTTTCTCTCTTTCTGGCGAGTGCATGAGCCCTATAGTAGAAACCTCTCCAAAAAAAAAAAGAGAGAGAGAGAGAGAGTTTTGCTATATGGCTTATATGCTCACCAGAGAAACAGAGAAAAACAGAGAGAAAGTGAGAAATCACCCCCTTGGGGGATGGCCATGCTGCAATCTCTTCTCCTCTATTCTCCTATCAGGATTTCGGATATGCACACACAAGCACCTGGTGTAAGTTTTAAGCCACTGGGTTCAGGATTGAACTACGGATGACTACATGAGAGTCCAGTGATGTAACCATTACACCATCAGCTGGTCTCCTAGTCTTAAAAATTCTATTTTGTGTTAAGGATATTAAACAGACATATGAACATAAAGGAAGGACAAAAAGTTAATAAAGACATTTGACATTCTATAGCTTATTGACTTTTAAATTTTTCCCATGTAAAATTTAAAATTTATTTTATTTTTCGTCAAGACTGACTAGGTCATCCTAAACTTACTCCCACAAGGTTTTATGTAACAAGTCATCATTTCTTACTTAAGACACAAGAAAAAAAATTCCCATAGAGAATGATTTCTTAGAATGCTCAGGAGTTACTACAAGTTCAGTTTTTAGTACATTTTCCTTCTGGAGAGTTTTGTGTGTTTGGAGACATATGTAAAAATAAACTAGAATGATAATAGTAGCAATGATATCACATATTCGTCCAGTACCTTGCAATTATTGAGCAGTTCATGTATATAATATCAGTGGTCTCAGCATTTCACAGTTCTCATGGCTTACTGCTTTATTCTTGACTACCCTTGTGTGAAGTAATTAGATTTAGATGAACAACATACTGAAGTTTCAAAAGATCCTATGATTTGTCCCAAATCACATGGGCAGGAGAGGACTAAAACTCGTATTTCTTGGTGTCCAAACTCCCTTTACAGAGCTCGTCGAGTTTTATGACGTTCTTACATGTTTACAAATTTGTGTTTATTGCATGTGTTCGATAGCACATCCGATAAAAGTAATGAGAATTAGCTTGTTATCAGTAGCCAGATTCAAAGATAAACTAGTCATTCAATTAAATATGTAGTGAGAAAGAGTCAGAGGGACAGCTACATTTTCGTGAGAGGAGGGGATCTAAGGAGAGGAGTAAGTTCAGAGCGTAAGAGATGAACCGCGCTTGTGTCCTTAGTGACTGAAGGAATCTGATTAACCAGATGCACATCAGAAGAAGGGAATCTTAAAACAGGGAAAGCACTAAAAAGAAGCAAAAAAGAACACAATACGTGCCTAAGAGAAAAACTCCTGTGACAATTTTTTTCCCCTATAGAGTGTATGCATTCACTAGAGAGATACAGTAAGAGGGAAAGTGAGAAATCAGCCCTGAGGGCTGGTGGCCATGGTGCAATCTCTTCTCCTGGGATTTTGGGCACCTATGCACACACACCTGGTGTGATTTTTCAAGCCACCAGGTCCTGGCCTCAAACTGCAGTCAGCCATATGAGAGTTTAGCCACTTTAACCACAATGCTCTCTGCTGGCCTAATTCCTGTGGCAAATTTGAGCCAAATGTAGAGACTTTGGTGATTCTGGATCTTCATAAAGTGACTTCTTAGATCAGAAGAAAAGTTTGATTACTTTTAAAATCTCCCAGTACCGGACTTTGTTGGCAGCAAACAAAGCATTCTGTTTACTGATGCTCTTGGGGCTAAGTAGATGGCTGTTTCAAGTTTTCAATCTTTACTGCCTGATTCTATTTTAAAAAAAACACTTATTTCTGAGAGTGTTTCAATAAAGTTCTTACACTGCAATCCTGCCCCCAGCCTCAGCAAACCCAGATCACAGGCATGGTATCATGTGGCATCACGGTATCTTCCCATGTGGCCTCTGCCTTGCAGAGTGTGGCATCATTCCTGCACCCCTGCCACCGGCCTTTTCTGGTTCTATTTCAACTCACAAGTAGTGAAGTTTATACCAGATTGCTGAAGGTTGCAGTTTCCCACGTAATGCCACATTTTCCCAAGGCCCTATAGATATAAACTTTAAAACAATGAAATTAGTTAAGATGTTAATATAATAAACAATGAAATTAGTTAAGATGTAAATATAATTAATACAGTTAACATTATATTAGCTGTAACTGAAAGACATCAAGATAAGCACATATGTTCCTATCTCCTGTAACATGCACTTGACATATAAACTCAGAGGGTTTTGACAGTAGGAAACTATTCCTCAATGAGTTCAACTTTATTTTAGGAAGAATGATGTGAATTGCTGTTTAGTAATTAAGAAGAGAAGATTAATGCCAGAGATTACATGTGCACAAGGGAGAGAGA